GTGATCAATCACTGCAGTGCACAGTTCCTGTAATGATGAATTGTCATGAGCCTTAATTAGCAAATTGGTTAATTTTACTTAGAAAGTTGATGATTAGCGCCACAGTAAGTGCTTTGTGCATTCTTTGTAAGAGTCATTCAGTATCACTCTTCCTTGGGTAACTAATTGGAGAAGACTGTTCCACAGAGCCCTCCTCTCGATCAGCCTCTTCAACATTTCTGCAGCAAGCACTGCTGCTTCACCTGGATGCTGGAATCTCATCAGGGGATGGCACTCCTCACAGGAGACTTCCAAAAACCTGGAAGGGACAAGGAGCAAGTCATTAAGGAACCTCTACCTGTTTAATTCATCAGTGCTCTGCACAGCTGCATTCTATTCTAGCATGCCCTAAATGCCTTGCTGTTTGCTTTGAAGTTGGTTAATCTGGTTTGGCTTTATCTTATCTTTTTTAGGAGGCAGTTTCAGAATTAAAAGCTTGTGACTGACAGTGTTCTGCTTTCTGGTCTCCTGAGCTTTATCCTAAACCTTTATAGCTGTAATTGTCTCAGAAGAGTGTAGCTTGCCTCAGGTGTAGCTTCCATCTCCCGGTGCCTGCAGAGTTAAAGCTCTGCCTTTGGAGCACAGAGAAGAGCAACTGAGAGCTGGATCGTGTTCCAAGGGAAAAAAAAATCAATATATTATGCACAAGATGTCTCCAAATTCAGCACCTTCTAATTAGTCCAGGAGCCAGCACCCCTCTGTCAACAGCAGAATCCAAGTCTTGTTGCGGAGGTTGTTCCTTCTGTGTGGTTTAGCCTTATTTTGGTCCCTGTGCTTTGATTCCCATCACATCAGGGATGTTAATAGAGTGAAGTGCTGAGGGGGACCCCAGAGAGGGTCAGGGAGAGGAGCAGGCGAATCAGTGGGAGCAAAGGATCTGTGTGGAGCTGGAAAAGCTCTCGAGAAATGCCTGCAGCCCAACAGGCAACTCAGAGAGAGATGCTGGAGAGCCTTTGGCCTGCCAAGTTTGATGTGTGCCTTCATCCTCATACTTATCTGTCCCATAATACTCCATTCCAGACCTGGCAGTATCAGCACATACTGGATTTATTGCTAGGGAAGGAAAGAAGTTGCCATGACTACTCACCGAGTAATAGTGAGTAATTTGATTTTTAATTGTGAAATATGTAGCGTCATCATCAGGTTGTGCTGGTGTAAACAGGAGCAGAATCAGGTCCATTAGAGTTGGTAGCTGGGTCTAACTTGCCCTGTGTAAATCAGGAGTAAATCTCTGGCAGAAGTGAGGTTACAATGGTTGGAAGTTGAGCCAGAAGCCAGTGTGATTTCCCAGGTTAGCTGGGTGATGGGAAGGGCTGTAACTTCCCATTTACTCCCTGGTGCTGTGTGTCCCTCCCTGGATCAGATGATGCAGCCCAAATCACACAGTGTAAAGGCTGCCTCTTTGCCCTGGTTAAACTGGGGGTTTCTTATTCCCTGAGAAGGGCAGTAATGGAGGAATTTGATACTTTTTGCAAACATTAGTGGCCTCTGAGCATTTATGTGCTAATGCCTGTGCTTGCCATGCTCACTGGCAGAGACCAGGGTGTGTTGGCTTCCGGATCAGGCAAGAAAATCACTTCTGTCAGATGGGAAAGGGGTAAACTAGCTAGAAAAGAGCCATTTTTTTCTGGCTTCTACAGCTCCATTATGCGCAAAGGAGACACTGACTGCCCCCATGTCAGAGAATTGCTGAGAACCAGACCCAGAGAGGGTTGCCAAATTCTCCACTGAATGCCAGAGGAAGAAGGACTGTAAGTAGAAGTAATCTGTCTCAACTGAAAGGCTGAATAGTGACTTGAAAACTGTACAGTTAACTTCATTTAATTTTCCTATCTGTGTAAGGCAACCAACTGCTTAAAGGAAGGCTTTCTGTGTGTTGTTTGCATAGAAATCCACTCATCCTGTCCCAGCCTCATGTGGGGCAGGGCACAGCAGTCTATTTTTATTTTTCATTCCGTGTTGTATTTAAAATGTGGACAGAAAAGGGGGGAAAGGGATGAGGAGGGTTTTAAACATTGGCTGCCACCTTAATTGCAGCCTAGCAATGAATAGCTGCAGGCTTTCTTGGACAGCTCCTCCGTGAATGTCACACACAAATCCATCTGACACCTGGGGTCAGAAGTATTCTTCCATGCTTTTTGTTAAGTCATCTTTCCCTCTCTAGTGCCAAAGGGTCTGGCTAAATTGAATTGCATTTAAATGAGGTGAACGTGTGATGGATCATCCGAGTGCTGCTGTTTCCCTCCAAGTTTTGTGACAAATCTCTCTAATGCAAACACCGTGTCTCATACCTTGAACTCACTGCTGCAATTAAATGCTGATCCTTTAATCCTTGTCTGGAAAAACAATATAGTAATAGCAGTCCTGCATGTTTGCACAGGAAAGGAGAGGTGTGCACGCAGCAGATGCTGCCAAGAGCTCTGGTAATTCAGTTTGCAGGGGTCACAGTCACATTGGAGACACCAGCAGTGACATTAGCACGTCCAGACCTTCAGTGCAAGCTCTCCAGGAATTAGAGCATGTACTGTGATGCCTTCGCTGCTGTGTCAGCTGAGCTGTGACACCACCACAGCTTTTATCAGCTTATTGTACAAACTAAATGCAAATACAATGAGCCAGAGAAGGGTGGGTGCTGACCAATCACTGAATTCCCCCTAAAACTGGGTTTTGTCTGAATGATCAGCAAGATATAATGACTGACACTGGAATGAGTCTGCAGGGCACACAGCTCGGTGATTAGTCAGTTCTCATTACCTCTTCCTCCAATTAACGTCAGCAAATCAGTGCTCTTGAATCAACGAGGACCTCAGGAGAAACTAAGCTTCCCCAAAATGCTGCCAGATGTCAGCAGAAGCTCCAATCCCCTCGCCTTGATGGTTCAGTACTTTTTACACACATAATTAACTGTTAGCACCGTCCTGTTTCTGTCACTCCAGCCCTTCACCCGTGGTGTGCTGATAAATGCTGTTAGTTTTGCTGTGATGGAGGAGTCTGTGCCCAGCTCTGCTGCCTCATGCTCCTGCACTTCATCTCATTTCCATGCTCATCCCAGCCAAGCAGGAACCCAGCCTGAGATCCCTTTTGCTACAGCTTCGTCACCCCATTTGGATCTTTCTCCTTGTTGTCTTTGCAGTTTCCCTTCAGCAGGTGACGGCATTTGGCTTTCATGGTCAGTCTCTGGAAGTGGAATATGAGTTAATTTTCCCCATTCTATCCAAAATACTGTAGGGAATATTTTTATATATTTTTGGTATCTGCAGGTTGTGGAGGAAGCTCACTTGTCACAGTGCCCTTCATTACAAAGGTGTTATTTTTTTCCTCTTTTTTTTCCCTCTGACTTGTCAGGAATAATTAAATGCTGTGGTTGTTTTGGCCTCCCTTCAATGGGCATTTACCCAACTCATAAATACAAGAGTAGCTCCCCTGAACTCTGTTTCACTCAGGTAGAGTTGTGAAGGTTTGCTCAGCGATGCTCTGAGGAAAATGAGGAACCCAGATGGGCTTGTGTTTGGGAGGATCCCAAGTTGGTTGCTCTCTAAAACCCAAATAGTGTTGCTCTGCTCAATTAAGAATTGCTTATTAATGTTTAAAATACATTCATCCCCAGGTATTTTCACGGTCCTTTTTGCTCCCAAATTGGCAAGGCCAGTGCTGCTGTCCAAAATAAATGAAGTGTGTGAAGACAGTTTAAAGGCATTGAGGAATTTCAGACTTTTTGCATCTCACTCGCTTTCACCTAATTTGTTAATGGGTATGTTTTTCCCTGTGGGAAAATAAAGCTTTTCTCTCTGACATTTTGTAAAGGACCTACTAAACCTTCTTTTGTCCCTTTGGGTAAAATCAGTTGAATTAGCTTTTCTGGTGCCTTTCTGTTTTTCCTAGAGATTCTGTGTTGGTTCTTAACCCTTTCTGCCCCCTAGTTTTGAACAGTATGACAGTAATCCTTAGATACCTTAGAAGTCTAGGTACAATGTGGGCAACTGTAGGTTCACTAGGGAGAGGCTTATTACTATGTAAAAAAAATTGGATATATAGGTGAAGAGAAAAATATTGGCTTATTTTAGGTGTGAACTAAAACAGAAGCTTGCAGAAGGATGCACGGTGAGTTTGTGACATTGCTGGGAATGTTTGGATCTCCTGGGGCACCAGAGAACAGGATGTCTCCTCAGACCTAAGGATTTGTGAATGTTTCCAAGTCTCCAACCACCCTTGGGACACAGGTGTGTGTCACCACCAGGAGTGGCAAACTGGGGACCTTGGTGTGACATCGCTCTAGACAGACGGACGCATCCCTTGTGAAGCTTTAGACAAAATACTTTCATATGAAGCTACTCTGTGCTGGCAAGAGCAGCTGGGATGGTTCCTGTGCTCTTTGATTTATCCAGACAGGCTACCAGGGTGTTTGCTGCACGTTTCCTTAGAAGTTTGTCACAGCCTGACACACGCTGTTCCCGTGATGCCTCGCACAGCTCAATCAGTGTCCTTCCCTGGCTGGAGGAAAACGTGCTGAGCCAGCCTTGCAAGCTGCTCCAGCCATGGGACACCTGATCCTCAGGCTGAAAGAGCACGAGGTCTGTCTGACTCTCCATTGCTTTTTTTCTCCCCATCTCTCACTTTATATTCTGTTTAATGTCCATCTTGCTACGTTTCAGGTGAACGACAGGTGCTGAGGAGGGACACGTTGTGTTGGTGTTGCAAAGGTTTTTCTTTGCAAAGGGAAACATCTCCATTCCATAGGTATTGATGAAGAAGAGTATTAATTAAAACCTGCCCTAGATTAATGTAGAACAGCATAAATAACGAGCGGGTGCTGTGAATGATGAACGGGAGAAAAGGATTTGGACTGTCACCGTTCCACCACACAGGGAGTGTTTTACAGGAGACAAAGGTGTTTACTGTGTCATTTCTGCATTTGCTTTATATAACAATAACCATTATGTGCCCGCTCTTAAAAAATCATCTTCTGCTAAGATGCTACCAAGAAAGAAGACGACAATTTGGAACTTGCCTTGAAATAGCACTCTTATGGGAATTCAAAGCGTGGTTATTATTGTGCTGCTTGGAAAGCTGCTTTTCTGTCCAGCTTCCCTGTGATCCCTTTAGCTCTATCCGATACCAAAGGCTTGAGATCTCCAGATTAGAAATTAAATTCCACCTCTGTGGCCCAGACCTGATGACCTGCTGGAGTCACAGCAAATAGGTTTTACTTTACAGTGAGTGCTTCCAGCTAAAGCTGTTGCTTTTTGGACAAAGTCAAACTTATTTGGAAAAAGATAATTAAAGGCATGCAATGCAGGTGTAGGAATAATAATTGACTTGAAATTGAGTAGGGATTATCCAGAGTGATGGCAGGCCCTGATCTTGCAGGGATTTAGGTGCTTGTTTTGTTCTGCTGGCATGTGTGAGTACACAGGACAGTCGGGTGGGCTCTGTCCTGGGGGATTTAGGGGAGGCTGTGGCATGGCCAGGAGTTGTGCAGCTGGGACAGCTGGGTGGGATGCAGCACTTAGAGCATCAGGCAGCAATTCCTGCTGCTGAGCTGGGTATAAACCACAGCATTTCAGGGGTGGACAGGTGTGCTTTGGGTGTCTGGTACAGGAACAGCAGCCTGGGGAGGGCAGGAGAGGGATTTTCCCATTGAGATTTCTGTTTTATTTTGCAAATGTAAAAACTGGCAGTGAGTGGTGTCAGGCCTGTGTTGGGAGGTGGGGACTGAAGAGCCTCAAGGGAAACTGGCAGAAATCATGATTTAAGTGTGATCACTGTGAAGTTGTCAGTCACTGAGATGGGCACTCAGCTATCTGGGGGCCTCTAATTGTGCTGCTCATAGTTGGTCATATTTTGAATGTGATAAGATTGAACAATACAGTTTTAAACCAAATTTTGGACTTTTCTGTGCTCTGTTAAAATGATGAAATCTAGAAATGGAAAGTGAATGTAGTTTATAAATATTTTTTTTTTTTCCAGTGAGCTTTGAAACAGTTTCAAACAATTAGCTGGATTTGCAGCAGCACAAAATGTGACCATCTCAATTTAATTAACAGCATATCTACATTGTGATAATGGGGGGATTCTGTGGAGACTGGTAGTAGCCCGATGGATTTTCATCCTGCTCACATACAATGTCATGGTTTAGATTGTTGTTTTTTTATTACAAGCTTTTACTCTTCTTGCAAGAGTTTCCAGTGTCATTTCTGCTGACAGATGCTGCTTAGGACAGATTTATTTTTATTCCCTTACAGTTGAATTGGATCAAACATCTTTTTCCATATAGCTCAAGTTTCCACAATGGAGTCACTCCTAGCTGACTACTCTGAGAAGAAAATTGTAGTAATTTTTGTGACCTTCTTTAGCAGCAATTGAAATGTTTTTTGGCACGTGTGCCTATAATCTATTAATTTCCACTTCCTGTCAATTGCAGAGATTCATGATTATAAATAGTATGAAAAATTTTAATGCAAATAGAGAGAGAGAGAGAAAATCCAGCATTTGGTATTTTTTTTTCCTAGTTGGATTCAGTGAGGTGTTGAAACATGCAGGGCGTTTGTTTCAGGCTTTGATAAAGATCTCTCACATTCTTATATAAAATGCTAAATTAACAATAATCAGCCCCCACGACTTACAGCCCTGCTCAGCACATAGCTTGCCTTTCTCTCGGGCTTCCTCTGAATCCACAGATCTGAGGGCTTTTTCCCTGTGATCTGAGAAAGCAAAATTCCTGACAAAACTAATGACTTGGGGCTCCTGTGGTATTTTAAAACCTTTTCTTTTTCCCCATGAGTGGCTGCCTAATGTGAGTGGGATTTCAGTGGCTGTTTGCATTATTTCCTCCCTGCAGTTGGGACATTCAGCACCATTAGCCTGCCCGGCTGCTCAGCACAGCGGTGGCTCCGGTGAGGTTTTCCACCAGGTTTCCCAATCCACACAACTGAAATAGTTTATTGCCTTACATTTTGGGTAATGGTATCTGACATGGGATTTTAAAGCATTTTCAGGTCCTTTATGGTGTGATGTTGTGGCACATCTCTAAGATGTGAAGGACCAGAGACTTCTGAGCTGGTGGGAAGTGGAATGTTCTCAGCTGGAATCCTTCAGTGCAAGCAGTGACCACCCAGCAAGGAAATCAACTCTGAATCCTGGAAGGAGGAAGAGGAGATAGTTCTGAATCAGAGAATATCCTGAGTTGGAAGGGACACACAAGGATCATGAGTCTGACTGCTGGTCCTGCACAGACACCCCAACAATCCCACCCTGTGCTGAGAGCAGTGTCCAAACACTCCTGGCAGCTTCAGGGCTGTGCCCATTCCCTGGGGAGCCTGGGCAGTGCCAGCACCCTCTGGGGGCAAGAACCTTTCCTGAAATCCAACCTAAACCTCCGTTGGCACAGCTCCAGCTGTTCCCTCAGGTCCTGTCACTGGTCACAGAGCACAGAGATCAGTGCCTGACCCTTCTGTAGCTCCAGCTGCAGCAGCTGGATTTGCTGGATCTGCTCTTCATTGCAGCTCCACTCCTGGCAGGAGGGGCAGCTCCGTCCCTCCAACGCCCTTCCCAGGCTTGTGGTTCCAGCCTTTCTGTTGGCAGGACCCTCACCCACTGTCTGTGAGGCAGCAAATCCCGTTCCTGGGAAGCTGTGGTTTGCTTCTGATGCCAGCTGGAAAACTCTACTGTGGACAAAAGTAATGAAACATCTGCAGAATCTGCTGCTGCCGGGCCCTGCTCCTTACCACCACTCCTGGAATGGTTAATATTAGGAAGATTTGGCCTTAAATTTTCACCTTGGAAGCACAGGGTGGGGATGCTGCCTTTGGCTGGATCATGTGCTGATCTCAGTAGAGGAGTGACCGGCTGGGATGTGCTGAGCCAGGGAAGCTCCAGGATGAAGCAGCAAAACTCTGCCCGGCCAGCTGATGGCCGGTCACACATTGCAAGCGTCCGGCTGCCTCCACATCCCCGTGGCCACCCCTCCAGCAAGGCCTGTGGGCCCATTTCACCTGCCAGGCAAAGGCACAGCTTCCATCAGCATCCACCTCATCCCACTGCCTTTGTTTGCTCCGGAGAGTTTGGGAGTGCAGCGGGATTGCAGCTGAGTGACTCCCAGGAGGGGAATGCTGAGCTCTCCCCAAAGCTCCGTGCATTGTAGCTTTGATACCAAGTGCTGTGGAGTGGGTGACTTCTCAAAGATGCTGCAGGACAAATAAACAAATGGCTTGCTCTGGGCAACAGGGCCTGGAAGTGAAACCAGGCTCCTCATTGCCAGAGGTCAGAAGAAATGATGGGAGGGTTTGTGCAAAGCCCTGGGGTGATGCCAGCCTCCCTGCTGGGATGACTCCCCTTTGCCAGATGCAACTGGGCCCTGTGGACCTGACCAGCACCAGAACTTCCCTGTAGCCACCGCTGGCTCAGCTGTCCTGCTGAGTCAAAAAACATGCTTTTTCTTGTGTTTTCCCCAACATGTTTGGGATTCTGGGAAGCTGAGAGTTAATGTCAGTCCCCCAGCCATGGAGCTGGACGGGTGCCCTCGGTGGCTTCTTGGGCTGTTTCGCTGTCTCCAAGTGACTGACAGAGCATCACTTTCCATCTCCGTGGGTGCCCACAGGTCCGTGGTCAGCCGCTGAGCTCAGGCAGGGGAAAGCAATCTGCCCTGTGAGCACTTTGGGAAGGATCTACACCAGAGAGAAGGGAGAAGAACTTGGGGCTCTAAGTAGTCAGAGCTGAAAAAATCTGGTTCATCTCCTTCCCTGCAGACTCCACAGCCTGCTGGGATGTCACTGAATGAGCCCCTGTGTGGTCTGTGCTGCAGGCAGGGCCGACGGGCAGTTTTAAGTCATGTAAGGGAAATTGAAGGACAAGCTTTATTCCCAGTCATGTCTGGTCTCTTTCATGTCCTGGAGGAGACCTTGGGGTGTGCTCTGTCTGCTTGCCTTGGGTCCCTGGGATCCTACACCTGCCCATTGTGCCAGCTCCGGGAAAGGGCACGGAGAGGGATATGGTGGGAGCTGGTTGGAACTGGGGGGGCTGAATGGGCGATCCCTGTGCCCGGTGAGTCTGGGCAGTGGGATTCCTGCATGGGGCAGGTCTGGGGGAGAATGGTCCCCACACATGGGTGGGGAGATCCCTGGGGGGACCTGGGTGAGGGAGGTGATTGGGTGGGGTTTGCGTGGATGTACCTGTGTTCATCCTGCGTGTGGAAACTTGGGTGGGAGGATCCCTGTCCATGGGTGGGGAGATCCCTGGGCATTCCCCTCTGGGGGAACTCGGGGTGGGTGATCCTTGGGGATCCCTGCCTGCTGGAAGTCCAGGTAGGTGATCCTCAGGAACAGGTGAGGGATTGCAGCATGGGAGAGCTTGGGGGTGGTGGGATCCCCGCGTGTGGGGAGTGTGGGTGGGTGATCCCTGGGATCCCGCGTGTGGGGAGTGTGGGTGGGTGATCCCTGGGATCCCGCGTGTGGGGAGTGTGGGTGGTGATCCCTGGGATCCCCGTGTGGGGAGTGTGGGTGGTGATCCCTGGGATCCCCGTGTGGGTGGGTGATCCCT